AACTGCCAGGCGAAAAAGCAGGTCGAGAGATCGCACGACGGGTGTAAAACAGACATCAATTATCTTGGAACTCATCATCATCAAAAACCGCAACATAGTTCCCAAGTAACTCCCGTCTTTCAAGTACAAGAAACACCCATCGTATCTGCAATAAAAGGTAAGTTTTAACATAGCTTAGTTCCTAAATATTGACTTGTTTTTTTTCTCTAAATGTTCAAAGGGTTATTATTGACTTTCGTTTGACCTTTTTAGCGGATGCTGAGCCAATCATTGACCATGGAGGTGCAAATCTACAAATGGTGCCGTTTGGGACATCCCATCAATCGATTGTTCCAAGAAGTGCTGATGATGTGATTGTAGCAGTTCCTTGTTCAACTAATGATGATAATAATAACTATAATAAAGAGGATTATTCAGACACTAAACGACAGTATGCTCTATACCTCGTATTGCATTCATACCTCTATGCTTAACTGTTATTTGTTAATCGAGTGATGATTTTTTGCCAAACAGGAGAAGAGAAATAATATCTGGAGATGAGAATGTGGTGAGTAAACCTCATAGCGAGTTACGGCATGTTGTTCAAACTCTGAGTGGGGTTGATGTTATTAATGATGGATACCGCTGGCGTAAATATGGGCAGAAGTTGGTGAAGGGCAATCCAAATCCTCGGTAACTAAAATTTTAATTTACTTCTGCAGCATCTTTTTTTTTTTTTTTTTTTTTTTATGTGCTGCATTTTACTGAATAAAAATACGAAACTGTTTATCAGCTTCCTAGAAACTTTTTCGGGTCGTAGGATTTTACATGTAAAAGAGAAACCTAATCTCAGTTGTGTATATGTTGTGTAGGAGTTACTACAGGTGTTCAAATGCTGGTTGCCCAGTCAAGAAACACGTAGAAAGAGCCTCCCATGATTCAAGGCTAGTTATTACAACATACGAAGGACAACACGAACATGAAATGCCACTACCTAGGCCGCCTGTAAACCAAAGTACACCAAGAAATGATGCTAATACGATCACCGCAAATGGAGAATCGAGACCCAAGCCCGAAGAGAACAATCCCGTTTCACTTGAAATGGTTGTTCATCTTACTGCCAACTGAGAAAGCAAATTCCTACTGCAGGCCTTTTTTCCAATGCTATCGTTCGAGTTAAATAATTTTATAATCATATAATAACATTTTCTTCTTTATTCATTTTATCATTGTACTTTGGAGTTAGTAGGGATTCTTGATCTTAAATGAGGGATTATGTTTACTGTAATCGCTAGTTCGACTCTTGTTTAATTCGTCGCGGGCAGTGGAATAACTTGTAGTAGTTGTATGATTGACTCATTTGTCTTGAGAGATTAAAAATGTATTGTAGATTTGATCTGAGTTGTATATATTCTTCTTCTGAGGCAAGACTACAAGATATTTTGACAATTTCCATTTTTGTCCTTGATGCATGATGGATTCACATCTGTATATTTATTACAATTAACAAAATGTCATAATGTAAAGACAACAACATCATAGTACAAACAAAATGCAGGTGCTGTCATTTCCAGGCAGAAGCAGCCACCAAATCTCTGTTCAACCAGCCAAGATAAAGTGCACCATCTCTCTCTTCAACACTAAATCTATTACACCAACTCTCCATCAACTTCTTGATTGTACCATTCACCAAAGAACTCAATGGAAATTGTCTGAAACCAGCCATTTTAAACCTCGATTTCCACTTCCCAAGCGTCTCGTGCCTCTCCACTCTCTCTCCTCCCTCACATGCAATTACGTTCACTACGTCTCTTGCCAAACAGTGCTGCTCCATGTTTATCCTCTCCTTGTCCTCCCTCGACACCGTCACATCGATCGACTCGAACATCGCTGTGTAGTAATCCAATGTTTCAAGAAACCTTGGATAGAACGCAGCCGTGTTTGTATTCAATTCTTGCTCCACTAAAGTCACCACTTTCGGATTAAGTCTTTTCACCATCCTCAAAACGGTACTTACACTTTCATCGGGCGTGCGGTGCAAGACGAATGCAAAATTCACCGCAAGTGCTTCTTTTTGGCCCGATTGAGTGACTAGGTTTTCGAGGTGGGCTCCACTAGAGGAATTGAACTCGAAAGGGACTTTGAAGCTCTTGGCCAGCTTCGATAGCCTCCGCCCCACGATGTTCGATCCACTGCCACGTGGCGCATATGCTGATGTGGCATCATCGATGCCCGTTATCCGAATACGGGGCGGCCCGCCGGGTCGGGCGGCGAAGGCCTGAATCAGAGGGACCCACTGGCTCCCTTGGCCTATTTGGAAATCGATTATATGAACCCTCTCTTCATCCTTCATCGCTTCTGCAATAGCACCGTTTGCTGACATGTATCCGTATTTGAAATAAGGGCACGCTTCGTGGAGCAATTGCGTATACGATAGAAGCTGGCGATTCACGGGCTCCCGGGATTTGTATAAGAACCTTCCGGAAGAACTCACCCTAGCAACGAGCCCTTCGAGCATGTATGCTCCTAAACGCTGTAACGGCTCGCCGGAAACCGACACCAGCTGGCGTAATTCAGACATCAACCTTTGTGACGTTGGCACGTCATCGTTCGAAACGGCCTTTGCGCACGCAATAAGCACCTGCTTTAAGTGGTCCCCTCTCGGCGTGGGCTCCACAATCTGTCGCCAGCTGTCAATCTCGGCCGAGGCCAAAAGGGTATTCTCGTAATTTTCAAGAAAGTCAAGATCCGGCCCGAACATTACATTCTCGAGTTCTCTCAGCTTGTGCTTCAGTTCGTTTGCATCTTCTTGGTGGGATAATGAGCTCTCGTTGTTGGGTGAGAAAGTGACGCTCGAAGGTGAGTTGTAACAAGTTTCGATTAGCAAAGATGACTCTAGTGTACAAAATCGATCTTGAAAATTGTGGCTCGAGTTTTGGGGGTTTAAATTATGACACTGTTGAGGTGAGTAGGATTCGAATTTTAGGACGGGTTGACAGCAAAGCGTGTTAGGCATTCTCGATCGGCTATGATGTCCAGATGCTTGCATCGAAAAACAGGAGTTTTGGAATCCCTTTTACAGCTGGAAAATCAAGAAAAAAAATCAGATTAAGAGAGTGTATGAATATAGAATATCATAACAACTCTTCTACTACGAAAAGGGTCATAATTTCATCGAAACATCGAAAAGTTAGATTAGAAAGTCAAACACAATAGGGTCAAATGACTTGAATTGTCTTGCCAACGAACACGAAATCAGACGAGTTGACTCGGGTCAAAGCACGAAATTGGACGTTCTTAGTCCATTCTTTGCAGGAATATAACACAAAAAGCTCAAAGATTTCTCCAAGTCTCCTTGTCCCATAACGCAAGAACTCTAAAATAATAGCAAATGAAACACAACTAAATGCATATAAAACACGAATTATCCTTTGATATTCGGACAAAACCAAGAAAAACAAAAATCATCCAAAATGTAGTCCTAAAACTAGAATTAGACAACTTTTTAGTAGTAGCTCTAGCAAGTAATTTACAGACTTAAAGAAAAAGGGTACAAAAAAAAGATACAAAGATTTAATCTTTACGATAATTTAACTTATTAACATCCACCCTTTAATTCTTTTTTGCTTTTGAATTTATTTACTGAAACTCTAAGAAAACCCACACATTAATAATTGACAAGAAGTTAAAAAAAAAAAAACAAGAAATAGTAATAATCAAGATGAAAGAGAGAAAGTAAACCTTAAAAGTTGAAGAATCACAGGTTCATCAGTTGTCTGTATGTGTACTGTAATTTAAGTTAACACCACCAAGAAAGAAAGAAACAGTGTGTGTTGTGTTTTCTAGAGAGAGAAATATTGAGAGAAACAGAGAGAGGTTTGTTCTTCGGTGTCCGTGATAGCAAGTCAGTCACCCAGTAATGTAAATTGTTTTTCTTTATTATAAATCAATGAAGTGAATCATTACCCTTGGAGTTGAGATATATTCACGTTACTGCCACTCTGAATCAGTGAAGCTTAATGATTATTATACTTTAATTAAGATTAATGATTAGTTAGATAATTAGATTAGATTACAAAGGCAAAAATATCAAGATGACGTAGGAAGAACTGCCTTCCACTCCACCACTCAACTCCCACTCTCAATTATCATCAATTATCAATTACATCATTTAATGCTTATCTTTCACTTTCTCTCAACTACTAATAAACTATTAATTATTCTCTAATTAATATTCCTATCTCTATTCTCCACCCTCCATTTATACTAATAAAACAACAATCCACGACGTTTCGGAGTTTCAAATAATACATGTTTTTTTTTTTATCATTATTATTATATACTATGCAAAAAAAAAAAAAAATGAATACATATAAATAAAAAATATCCCCAAAAGAATTGTGATGGGATCACAAAGCCCAGAGATTTGAGGAAAAGAGAATTTTGTCTCCTATTTTACTCATAATGGTGTCCCACAATCTTATTGTAGATAAATAAATTTTATCCAAAAGAAAGGGACCATTGTGCAATTACGAAACAAGGAATTCTATTTAAATTCTATGGCCCATGGCAATTCCGTAATTAAATATTTAAATTCAAATCAAATCAAGATTATGTGCCGTATATTGGTATCTATATTTAAATATCAATTACATATTTTCTATTTTAAATCTAGGGATTTAATTAAATTAATTCCTAAATTAAATAGATAATTGATTTTAAATATATATTTACCAGTAGAATTATTTATTCTCTTCCAAATTATAAGGGATAAATATCAATTAATTATTGGCCAATAGAATTGTTTCTTCTCTTCCAAGTTACAAGAGATAAATATCAATTTAAATCGGGCCAATCAAATCGCGCCACATCATCAGTAAGGCCCATCAAGGACTCTTATTCTACCACTATAAATAGGAATCCTCCCTCCACAATTAAAAACACAACTGAAGGAGCAGAAATCGTAGGAGCAAAATTCTCTCTACAATTCAAGAAGCAAGGAAGAAGAATTCGTAGGAGGTAAGATTCTCTCTCTACATTCAAAGTGTTCTTCGTCATATTCGAGGTGTTCTTGAGCAAATTCAAGGCGTTCTTCGTCAAATCTAGCGTTCGATCCGAGATAACGGTGCCAAACCTTCGGATTAACGTTAATCAATTCAAGTCAAGATCACTGGAAGATTGAAGGGCCAAATCCATCAAGAATTTCAAGATCTTCAAGTCAACGCCCGTCAAAGTTCAACAAATCAAGATCGAAGGAAGATTGAGGGGCCAAATCCATCAAGAACTTCAAAATCTTCAAGTCAAATCAAGTCAAAGTTCAACGTTCGATCCGAGATTCAAGTCGCAAGACCCTCGGAAGACGTTATTCAAATCCAAATCAAATCCGGAGAAGATCAAATCAACGACTCGTCTCCGAAATTCAAAGTCAATCATATATTTTTCTTGAGAGAATAATCAGAGGATTAAAATAGAGATTGTAGCCCGCAATTTATTTATTTTAATTCAATAAAATCATCTTTGTTCAATTTTTCTTGTTTGTTTATATCGCAGATAAGAATTTGTTGTTACAAATTTTGGCACGCCCAGTGGGACACCTCTACCTCTCATCTCTTCTCTCTCTCGAAGATCCTAGTAGTTGTTCTACGTTCACGATGAAGGCTGCTACTTCAAATTCATCAAGCATGGGCGTAGTTACAAGGAGTATGGCTAAGAAGCTGCAGACATCCTCCGAGACTAGCTCAACGCCCCAAATCATCGAAAAAGGCTCGTCACCTCTCGTCAACACAGGTGGAGGCGTGGAAGGATCTAGAGGAGAAGCTTCGTCATCCACGTCCCTTTCAGCATCAAACTACTCTGAGGTGGCTCCCGTCATGACGACACATGCTACGACCATGGAAGAGCAGATGGCGATCTTGACCAAGGCCATTGAAGGGTTAACAAAGCACATTCAAGAACAAGACTCCCAAATTGCGATGTTGCGGGACAAGGTTGACGGTAGTCACGACATGGGAAAACAAGGCGAAAATCACACCGAAGCTGAAACTTCTGCAAGGCGACATCCAATCCAAAGGGAGAAGAGCCCGGCTGAAGAATTCCAGGTTTCGTCAGAGGGGTTGATTCCTATAGACCAATTGAAAGAGTTCATCATGGGGACTATCAAAGACAAATTCAATGAGGGTTCAAAATCGTCGTCAACATACACCAAGCCATACACTCTAAGAGTAGACGACTTGAAGATGCCAATTGGTTACCAACCCCCGAAGTTTCAGCAATTTGATGGCAAGGGCAACCCAAAACAGCATGTGGCACATTTTGTTGAAACTTGCAACAATGCTGGGACTTTTGGAGACTACCTCGTGAAACAATTTGTTCGATCATTGAAGGGGAATGCTTTTGATTGGTATACGGACCTAGAGCCGAACTCAATTGACAGTTGGAGTCAAATGGAGCAAGAATTTTTGAATCGCTTCTACAGCACCCGAAGAACAGTGAGCATGATCGAGCTCACAAACTCTCGCCAGTGGAAAGAAGAGGCCGTCATTGACTATATTAATCGCTGGAGGAATTTAAGCCTGAATTGCAAGGACCGATTGTCAGAGGCCTCAGCTATCGAGATGTGCATTCAAGGAATGCAATGGGGACTCCGATATATCCTGCAAGGGATTCAACCTAAGAGTTTTGAAGAGTTGGCCACTAGAGCGCACGACATGGAGTTGAGCATTATGGCTAGTGGAGTTGAGGGACCACCAGTTCAAGAGCCTCGACAGTCGAAAGAAAAACAGGATTTTCGGAAGGTGGGTAGAGTTTTCTCTAAGACCTCAAGCAAAGAATCTTTGGCAGTGAATGCGACCCCTATCAAATTTCAAGGAAAAGTGAACGGAAACAATGAGGAAAAACAAGATTTTTCCCAAGAAAGAAGAAGACTTACTCTAAAAGAAATGCAAGCAAGGGAATATCCATTCCTCGACACTGATGTGGCTGGAATATTTGACGATTTGCTAAGTTTAAAACTTATCGAATTGCCTGAAATGAAGCGCCCCGAAGAAGCTAACAAAACCGATGACCCAAAATACTGCAAGTATCATCGGTTGGTCGGGCACCCAATTCATGATTGCTTCGTATTCAAAGACAAAATCATGCAGCTAGCTCGCCAAGGAAAGATATCACTTGAAGAGATCAGCGCCAATACAAATTTTATCGTCAGCAGTTTTGAGTCCCTTGGCATGACGACAACCAACGTGCACGAAGGAGATGATGATCATATTAACATCTCATGCAACACGATAATTGAAAAGGAGATCGCTGCTAGTGGAACAACTCCGTCTTCAAATGAAGTTTGTACCGTGATTGGTAAATGCATGTCAACAATGACTTTCGCTGATGAAGATTTGCTTCTTGGTTCCAAACCACACAATAGGCCATTGTTTGTTGCCGGCTACGCTCGTGAGCAGAAGGTGAATAGAATTTTAATCGATGGAGGTTCTGCAGTCAATATTTTGCCGTTGCACACTTTAAAGGAATTGGGGATCTCCACAGAGGAGCTCAAAACTAGTCGCTTGATGATCCAAGGATTTAATCAAGAAGGACAAAGGGCCCTTGGTATCATAAGGATAGAGTTGTTAATGGATGATATGTTGTCCACCGCACTGTTCCATGTCATTAATGCAAGAACCTCATATCGCATGCTTCTCGGGCGACCTTGGATACATGAGAATAGTGTGGTTCCTTCTTCTTGGCACCAATGTTTCAAGTATTGTCGAGACGGAGTAGTTAAAACGATACTCGCCGATGATAAACCGTTCACCGAGGCAGAAGCTCACTTTGCCGATGCTAAGTACTATCTTGATGATGAGAAGACGGTGAAAGCCAAAGAAATTCTACCAGTCGAAGAACCAAAGCGAAGAAATAATCAAGACACGGATCCTTTAGCGTGTGAGGCTTTGAAAGATTTGATGTTTCCCCTAACACCAATTGACGAGAAGCGATCAACTTCTCAACCACCTAAAGGATTTGTTCATTCCACAGAAGAAACCCAAGAGGAATGCGAAGAATTCTCCGAGTCCCAAATGACAAAATGCTTTGGCCCAAATGCTTATAAACTCTTAGTGAAAGCTGGTTTCAACCCACATGAAGATTCTACGCTTGGAAGGCTTCCTGCCGAAGTTGTTGGCGAAAAGGTGCATGGCCTCAATACTACTCAAATAATGTTGAAAGAAAAAGGACATGCTATTCAAAGTCCTCGAGTTGGTCTTGGATTTGTGCCACAAAAACCAATTCGTATTGCTATCAATAGAGCTACCAGTAATTACATAATCGAAGATGAATTCTCATCTACAAACGATTTTCTTGAAAGTGGAGCAAAAGTGAGAAGGACATCCGTCTTTGATAGGCTTACACCATCTGTCTTCGATAGACTTGCGCCATCCGTCTTTGATAGACTTGGACCACTTAGAGAGTGGGGGCATGGAAAAGGTGACAAACGAGGGTTGGATAGACTTACGCCATCCGTCTTCCATAGGCTTGGACCACTTAGAAAGTGGGGGCATAACAGAAGCAACAAGCAAGATTTGGGTGTCTCTAATACTAAAATCACAAAAACACGAAGGATTCGAAGTTCAATTCCATCTCGCATGAAACGGCGTACTTATTTGACCATATCATGTGGTAAAGAGTTGAAGGCTAAAATGCGAACTGTCGTCTTTACAAAAATCCAAGATGACGAGGAAGATGACAGAGAAAGTGTGGCATCATCGTATCATATCACTTTAAGTGAAATAGACGTGATTGAGGAAGAAGACGCTGAAACTGCCCCACCCGAGCTTGAAGAAGGAGTCAAAGCCACCATCGATGAGTTAAAGGAAATTAATTTAGGAGATGCGGAGAATCCTCGACCAATCTA